TTCGCAGGGTCGTACGATGCCACGGTAGGGAATGGTCCCGTACAGGTTGCCGTACACTTATCAGAACTAAGTAAACGACGACGGCGCATTGTGTATCGCAATGCTACGCCGTCTCGCCACATTTGAATCCACTGACCTGCCGCTGTCGTACTAATGAGCTGATGACTAACCACCGCTGTAAAAATTAAACCTGCGTACACTGTTCATTCGGCAATCTCGACTCCACAACTTGGAATCCACTCTCTTATGGCTCTCCTCTAATTTTCTTCCCTCCCTCACCAAAAAACTATCAACTGATGCGACGCAAGTATGCAAATCCACGCAAAAAAGAACAATAAGTACCAAAATATAATACAAATTTCAAATCCCAAATCCCAAACCTATTTGTCAAAATCCAGTTACGCCAAAACTCAAAAGAGACAAGGCCTACCCCCGCGCCGTACCAGGCAACCACCAGCACCGCCTCAGCACCACAACACCAGCCCGTCTTTCTCCGGATCCAGAGCCTCTCTACCCTGCAGACTCAGACAGGCAGTACGGGGGCGCCCGCCGCCATTGCCGCCCTCCGCCATGCCGTGATCCCCGAACGCTGGCTGCGGCGTCAACAGTGCGATCTTTTCCCGGTCGTTAGGTCGTCCGATATTCGCTAAAAAGGCCATGAGGCGAGCCAGCCGTACAGCATCCCCGTGGGTTTCGGGCCTTATGGGTTGACTAGCCTGGAAATGGTCTTGGGGCTCGAAGTCCTCTCGGTAGCAGTACCGGGTGACGACGGCGCTGTCCGCACTGCGATGGTGTTTGCCAAGGTTGCGATTGAGGTGACGGAGGAGGGCAGAGGGATTTTTAGTAGTTCTGAAGGGTTTTGGGAGCAGTTCTTGGTGTGATGTGGTGTGGTGTGGTGTGGGCTATATATCGCAGAATGCAATCGCGCAATATCATCCTATCGTCAACATGATGATTCCGGGGCTGCAGACACCCACAAGCGCATACATAATAATGTCTCCATGCCGGGGGGACGTTTCAGCTGCGGGTATGAGAGCTCTAGCGTGTTGACCTGTCAAAACATACATACATACATACATACATACATACATACATACATACATACATGCATACATACATACATACATACATACACGCGCATGCACGCACCTGTCCAGCCTCGCCCTCGCCGCCGCGTCGGCCAATAGCTCGCAACGCACGCTGCACACGAACTCATCTTCGCCCTTCACACTCCGACTCAACACCCGAAACACCAGCGTGACAGATGGCCCGCCCCCGCCTCCGCTCCCTCCAGGAAAGCCGAGGCCTCCACCTCCGTCAACCGCGCCGTATGCTTCCGAATGCTGCCGTACACGGTGCTGTTGGGATTGTTGACGCGACCGAGCGCCCCGCCGTTGCATTCCGCCCGAATCGTTGGGTCGTGACCCCGGGCCGGCGGCGGCGCCAGCTCCCGGGAAGGTGGAATCGGAGGCGGAGGAGCCCAGGCCGCCGCGGGTGAACATCCCGCCGTACTTTTTCCGGATCTCGTCGTCCTCGTCGCCACCGTCACCGTCGGCACCTTCGGCGCCGGCAGGTATCGCTGCGCCTGCAGGAGGGGAGAGCGTGAGGAGTATTGGGTGAAGCGCAGCGGCATGGGGTGGGGTGGGTGGGGGTGGGGTGGGGTGGGGTTTCTACGTGGCAGATACATGCTGACGGCATGTTGTTGTAACCTGAACAGCGCCCATCGGGGTGGGGTGCCTTGCAGGGTCGTCGAAGGTATATATGTATGTATATGTATAAGTGGAGTAAGTATATACATATGAGAGGGGTGTATACATCGGTAATATCCAATCCACTTCACGCACACCCAGGTTGAACAGGGCTTGCTTCATAGTGCAAACAAGGCCCTTAAGGATCCCAAACGGATCAATAAAAGGCTGAATTGGCTTGATCTTCAAATACTGCCAAGCAGCAGCAGGAGGAAAAGATGTAGAAGAAAAAGAAGGACAAGAAGAGAAAGAAGACAAAAAAGACAGAAAAAGGAAAAGGAAAAGGAAAAGAAGAGCTCGCGAATGAATTCCAACATTCGCTCGACAGACATACACACGCACACTGGCCGTGATCAAAGACACCATACACACGCCACACACGCCACACACAGATGCTCTCGAATCCACAACATTCAATGTGGATTCCGAATGTGGGCACTCATGTATCACAGCTGCCAGTGTCCGCCTCCCTCCTCGCCATCTTCTTCTTTTCGCGACCAGGAAAGTCATTTTAAAGCACAGCAGCCGCGCCGCGCCGCAAACATGGACACCCAAATGCTGAAATCCCCCCAACCCCCCGGTCGCCCAGATAGAGGCCAAAGCCCTCACGACAATAATCATCGTCCACCAGCACAAGTAGATTATCCATTAACGAAAGCCGACTGAACTACCGACTGAACTACCCTTTACACGCTTCCCAAACCCGGCAGCCAAAACCGGTGAACCTCCACCACACTCACCATCTAACACGTTCTGTGCTGTCTGCGCCAACGCCTCCAGCTCCTCCTCACTCGGCGGCGGCTCCCCAGCGGCCGCCGCCTCCGTCACCGTACGACAGTGCTTCGTCTCTCGTTCCGCCAGCATCGTCGTACGGCGTTCCATGTACCGCAAGAACGCCGTGTCACGCATCATCGCGCCCGGCGGCACCAAATCGGTCAGGACTTTCGCCGGCAGGGGCCCCCCATTCTCCGCATACTCCCCCGGCGGTGGCGGCACCTCCACAACCTCCGCTTCTGTTAATGCCTCCATCACACGCTGCCGTGCATGTGCCACGTCATCAAGACAGCCCGTACAAACGACCAACCGCTCGGACGAGCAGGCACAGCAGGCAAACGGCTTGACGACGGAAATCTGCGCAAAGCACCGGTAGAGCAGGTAGAGCACACCCGCCGAAAACATTGTGAGACAGCCGCCGAGGCGCAACACCAGGCAGCCCCCAGGCGCCAGGCAACCTAGAGCCGTCGCCACCTCCCACAGCAGCGCCCGGCGGTACGCTGGGGACAGTTCGCCCTCCAGCACACCCGCCTGCGGTTCCTCCAACCGCCGTAAGCTCCCCAAGTCGCCCACTACCAACCAACACCCCGGTACGGCCGCCACCAGGCTGGCGGCGCTAGCTGCCGTACACTGCTCAAGCGGCCCTGGTGTTGCCGCTGCCGCCGCCTTCGGCGACGGCGGGAGCAGGGGCTCCAAGTAGACCCGTGGGTCGTTTCCAGAGGTTAAGTCGCCGAACGGCGATGCAACGGCGAACTGCCGGGCGCGATCCGTGTCGAGCATCGTGACGCGCCATTGGGATGGTTCGCCGCCGTCAGCGCCGTCAGCGGCGGAAGAGACGATGAGATACTCCGTCGCGCCGGCGCCGCTAAGAAGGGACAAATCCAGTGCGCGGGGTAACGAGTCGCTGCGGGCTGCGGCATGACTGGCGGTACGGCATATTCCCAACGCAGAATCAACCGCCGCAAGCTTCCAGTACGCGCGGCTGGCGTGGTGCAGCCGCCGCGGCGCCACGCAATGCCGTACATGGCGGCACACGGCGGCGGCGTTCGCGCGCTCCTGCCGCGCTTCCCGCAGCGACATCAACACCGCATCATCCGGCACCATCTTTGACTTCTTAATCATCGCCGGCGGCGGCGCCACCGAGCTGGCCAGCGGCGGCCACGCCTCCACCTCCTCCCCCTGCAACGGCCCCGTGCTCAGCAGTACGGCAGTGTCAGGCGCCAGTGACCAGTCCGCCACTGCCGCGCCACCGCCGCTGCCGCCGCTACCCTGCCCCAAGCCCAAACCCGCCCGCCGCCTGTTCGACTCCACATCCAAAGCAGACGCCATGCCTTGGTTGTTCCTCCCAAGGCCCTGCCCCGCAACGTGACCCATCTTCGCCATCATGGCAGCTGCTTTAGACATAGGCGGTGCCATGCTTCCATCTTCTCCGCCGCCGCCGCCGCCGCCGCCGCCAAGGCCACCTCGCTGCTGCTGCTGCTGCTGGGACCCCCCTGAAGCCCCTACCCAGCCGCCACCTCCCAAAACCGCCACTCGCTTGTTGTACTGCTGTTTGCGATCCTCCAGCGTCCCCGTCAGCTCATTGCCTTTCCGCTTTCCGCTGGTGTTATTGCGGCGGCCATCGAGCTCCGAATCCGGCGCCAGGAAGGCGGTTCGGTCCAGAGGTCGCACCTGCACAGGAGCGATTCGCATGCATGAGGGCCTTATGCGGATATTCTTTTAAACAAGGTTTTCGGAGTGTGTGCAATCATCGACTCAAAACGGGAATTTCTGTGTACGCAAGAGTCCACAGTTTGTTTTCTAATTATTATACGCGAACATAATCAAGTTGCGCAAAGATATGTCTATCGGCTGCCCATCCATCCATATATCCATCCATCCATCCATCTATCCACCCATGCGAGGTGCCGCCATAAGCGCACTGCACACGTCGTATCGGCGATGGCAGCCAAGGCTGTTGACCAACTTGTCAGCAGCATGCCGACAGACAGACATACAGACACCTACCTGCAGCAGGGTGCACCAGTGATTTGCAAAGGACTCCTTGGCGCGACGCAGCGCATCACGCTTGACGGGCGCCGGCAGTCCATCCAGATCGACGGCCTCCCGAATCGCCTCCGCAGTGGCATTGCCAAAATAGGCAGCGGCGTGACAGGCGGTCGCCAAGAAATCCCTGGGAAGGAGCTCCAACGGAAAGAGGGACCTACAAACAGTTGCAGCGGTTGCGGTTGTTGGTGGGCGGTTGGAAAAAATCAACATGGGTTCTTGGATACGTTGCTTTTTCCAAGACCCGGGAATCAGTTGCATTTGCATCACACGGGCCGAGAGATTTCACCCTTCCTCGGTCATCCATCGGTGTAATGTGCCCGCGAACCCGACATATAATTCACATTGCATAATCCATAACGCGTAATGCGATGATGATGATGATGATGATGATGATAACAATGCCACGCCTCACCGTAAGTGCCCTCACACTCACCTGCCAGTGAAGATGTCCTCGCCGCAGTTCCCCAGCAGCAGCTCCAGCACCTCAGTGGGCACCCCCCTGAAGCCCTTGCCCACCACATAGACCTCCGAGTTAGCGGGCTTGCTGGTGGCGGGCTTGTAAACCAGCACCTTGTCGAATAGGCAGCCCTGCAGAGAGGAGCGTGGGGGGGGCGTGGGGGGGGGAAAGATGGCGCGGGTAATGGTTACATGGCGGCCGAACTGGCGCGGTTCCCGGTAAAGGGGGGGGGGAGAGCTGTGAGTAACCGACGTAGAGATGCAGGGTATGGGCGGGAATGACGTGTAGAACTGAAGGCGGCAAAGAAGAAAGGGTTTCGGAAAGTGTAATAATTGGGAAGTCATCGCTGACGTGGCGGCGAATGTGGTTAAGTACATTTTTGCTGATGTTTTGCTGCTGGCAAGCTGCTAGCTGACATGCATGCATGTGTTCCTCCCAGCCACCCCTCCCAGCTAGCACACTTAGGGTTAGCCCCTGGCCCAACCCAACCCGGCTAGCTCGCCCACGCCGATGTAGCAGGACGCAACAAACGACAAAGCTCTCGGAACCGCCCGGACCCACCTGGCCAGGCGGCACAAGCGGCAGAGGCGGCGGGCAGAGGCACCGGCAGCGGGCAAAGGGCATGCAAAAGAAAGGAAAACGAATTGTGAGCAGCAAGAAAACGAACAGGTTTAAAAGGAATGTGAAGTGCTGCTGAATGGAAAAAGAGGAGGACTTATTTTTAAGGAAGGTGACAGTAGCACAGAAAAAATGCCTTAAGAACAAAGCCGAATGACAAAGAAAGCGTGGTCGTATCCCCTGGGAGGGCCGTGGCGAGGTGAGACGGAGAGGGAGGGAAGCGAGTGAGTGAGGGAGAGAGGCGCACCTGAGATTCCACATTCATGCTTATTTCGAACATCCCTATCGCAACCACCAGTGTCGTTTCAGACAGCAACCCAGGCCAACCCCTACATCCCCCTTCCCCTTTCCACCAACTACTACCTCACCTAAACAGCCTGCCTCCGCTCCCCCCCCCTCCCCTCCCCATCCTCAACCCCATCGCCATCACCATAACCCCCACCCTACCCATCCTCGCCATTATCCATTGTCCGAATCAATTATCATTATTATTATCACCCTCACTAGCATTATATATCAGTTGAATCCCCTACCCTGCCCAGCCCACCATGAGGAATAGCGAGCAGATGGAGGGGTGCTCGTACAACGTGAATCCCTTCCATACAAAGTTGCCGCCCACTGCCAGCAGCCCCAGTGCCGCCACAACCTCGCAGTAGTGTAGCGAGGCAGTGATCATCTCCTGACGATTTGGGTCCATGCTTGTATCCACCGCACCGTCCGCAGTTACCATGAGCACCCCTCCAGGACAGCCCATCCTCGTGCACAGCTCTTTTCCACGGTCCCAAATTGCTTGGATGTTTGAAATGCGCCGGATATCGCCCGTATTGTCCGCTCCGAAACACCAGTTCGGCATCGTAGCCGCGATGAGCGCGTCATCTTCAATCATGGCGAATTTGTCGTTGGCTTCACAATAGGGATTGAGAGAGACCGCCATCCAGTCCCATCGCCAGTTCTGTCTGTGTGTCTTGACAAAGTGGTTCGTTGCGGCGATAAATGCGCCGGGTGCTTCACAGAGGTGCACGCTCACGACTCCAGGTTTGCCGCGCTCGCGGCGCGGGACAGCAGGGCTGTTTCCCGGCATCATGTCGCACTGCCACAGGGTTTCGTACATTTTGGCCCAGGCAATGGTGCCGAGCTCGACGTGGAACTGGCTCCGGAGCAGCGCGCGAACTTGGTCTGCGGGGTTGGCGTCGGAGGCGGCCCGTTCCCACCGCCTGTGGGGAGTGGTATCGATAGCGGTGATAGCGGTGATGGTTATCACCGGGTGACCTGGCGCGAAATCCGCAGTGAGGCTTCCAACCCGTGCAGGCAAAACGTGCTATGATATGGAAACGTTCGTACCGCCTGTCCCAGTCATCCAGGGCGTTTTTGGCCGCATTCAGCTGTTCACGATCGTCGACCATGTTCGGCAGCTCCCATTCCTTTCCACTGAAAAAGCTATGCAGCTCCGGCAGGCGACAGCTTGAGGTTTCAATTACGATGGTCCGGCTCATCATTTCGAGCGCCTTAGCGTAGTGCCTATCATAATGGTCCTTGAAGTGAGCCTGTGCCATATCGTCGCCACCTCCACGTCCAAACTCGGTGCCATTATTTCTGGCTCTTATCATTTTCGCCATGGCCAAGGGCGCAACAGTGTGCGCTTACTGAAAAACCTAACGTCTGGTAACTTTTGTACCTTTCCTCAGCACCAAGTTGTTAGAGGCTGATAGTAAAGATACACAAAGAAAGCGTACATTAATTTAGTCATGGCAATAAATGTGACCCGTGCGTGGTGCAACATAACTTTGTTATCGTTGCCATGAGCAAACGTTGCCAACTAGGGAATTCTTCTGGTCTCGGAGCTGTTGTCTAGTTAGTCAGGCCGAATGCCCATCGTCCTCTTATTGCAAATATTAAACACGGTCGATGTTAACTTTGGGCCGACGGATGTGGAGGGCTGGTGTTCCCAGCTCCGGAACCCAGGAGGCTTCTATCCATACTTGCAGCAAGCATGCGTTCGTTATGTCATGCATAGCATGCCCGGTTATCCGTTATGCAGGAAAGTCCCGAGCTCGTAACCTATGCAAGACTCTGCGGCCTTGCCTGGGGTACCCCGCGGGCCCTCCTATCCCACGTTCTAACATATGTACGTTTTGGGGGGCAACTGGTCCACTTTCGAACTAAGTTTGTCCCCTAATTCCCCACCGCAACGGCTTGACCAAACGACCATGGTGCCCAGCCACCAGAGTACAGACATGAGGACTTGCCATTGTGCCCGTGTGTTTTCGATTCAAGCAAGCTGTCAAGTATCATAGTTGCGAGCAGACCCTAACCTTAAATTGGTGTCGGGCTGGAGGGACCGACCCTCCCTTTCGTATTAGCAAGGGATATGTGGCCGTGGCTTGGCGGTGCATGCACATCTAGGGATTGCGTGGTGAAGGCAGTTGGGTATTTATGGTAAAGATAGGTGTGAAGAGCTTGCGATTTGTCGATCGATCCCTCCGCAATGGTGCCCTCATCACGACCTGCCCCAGGAAAGCCGGTGCACCAGCTATGTATCCCATCCGCCCGTTGCGAGCATTACCCCAGGCCTTGCAGACTGCCAAGGATGGATCGGCGGCAGCGGTGGTGCCCGTCCTGCGTTGCCTGAGTACATGCTTGCCCTTTAAGGTTGCCAATAGTAGGGCCGCAGTCAGAGCTAGCTGCTAAATGCAGTTATAACATACAAGCCGGTGTTACCAGAGGCCAATTGTAACACAGCAAAGGCGTAACCCGGGATGCTCAGAATGCGTGAGGTTGTGGTTAGGTGCAGGCACGATCAGCGCGCATTATGGCGGGCCTTGGGAGGGCAACTCAGGGAGCGTTGTGCAATTGACGACTTGCCTGTATTTCGGGATCACTTTGCCACCTTGGTAAACGCAGGAGATGGGAAGACGGGTGTTGAAGGTGCACATCGGCTCCTTAACTATATCTCCTTTTTAGGGGCCCCTTTGGGAGAGGGTGCTTGGCAAGCATGTCCGACTGTCATGGACAGGAGGGCACGGGCAGCTAGCATCCTGGATGAGCCTTTCACCTTGGAGGAGGTAGCGCGTGCTGTCGGTAGGTTACCAAACAGAAAGGCTCATGGGCTCGAGGCCGTACCATCGGAATGTTACCGTTATGCACGCTTCCCAGGGTGGATGAGCAGGGCAGGCAGGGAACGGAGGTGAACTGTATCGTCCCAGTGCTGCACGTTTTGTTAGAGCACATCAGGGCAACTGGTGACTTTCCACAGCAGTTTACCAAAACGGTGGTATCCCCAATTTTGAAGAAGGGTGACCCGTTGGTGGCAAGAAATTATCGGGGCATTGCAGTTGGAGGAGCACTTGCGAAGTGCTATGCGTCAGTGATTCTTAACCGTCTGGTACGTGCTGGGGAAATACTGGACCTGCGGCACCCATGCCAAGCGGGTTTCAGGCGGGGTTTTGGCACCGCTCATCACCTCTTTGTCAAGCAACACCTGGTCAGGCGGCATCGGATCGCGGGGCAGCCGCCGTTGATAATAGTACAGATTGACTTTGAGAAGGCCTTTGATAGGGTGTAACACCAGGCAAGGAGTACTCAGGGAGATGCCAGGGGAGCTGATCCCTTCTTATATTCCTCCCCCCCTCGAGCAAACGTCCTCGGGCGCCCCTGGCCATACCCCGTAGGATTTAGGTTGTTTGAGATCCCGTAGGATTGTGAGTTTGGTTACTACTGTGACATTTCGTCAGTCCCAGTCCGAGATGAAGGACTTCTTTTTTACACAGCTGGTAGACTTCTCGCCCACCCGGGCATCCACATTTGGGGAAGAGTATGCTGCATCGTGCCTGGTGTGCGATATATTCGCAACTGAATTTGATCCGGGAAGTTCCCATCTCCTAGCAATTCGCACCAATGTAACACCAGGCGAAGAGTACTCAGGGAGATGCCAGGGGAGCTGATCCCTTCTTACATTGGGTGCCTCGCGAGCACATGTGGCTTCGGTTGCAGGAAAAGGGGATTAGCGGCCCCATGCTAGATGCTCTGAGAAAAGCGTACGAGAAGGTGTCCATGGTGATTAAGGTAAATGATAAAGTGGGGGGAGAGTTTCAGTCTAAGCAAGGCGTGAAGCAAGGGTGTCCTTTATCTACGGAGTCGTTTGGACTCTTCATTGAGTCACTAGCTGATCTGATTGATACTCATGACCTTGTAGAAGCTGGAGTACGTAAGTATGACGCACCCCTTGTGGACAGCAAGCGCGTCTCCATACTGTTGTATGCAGACGATGTCAGTCTGCTAGCGACGTCACTAGAGCGAATGTCTGAGTTGCTACATATTGTGGACTTGTTTTGTGAAGCTTTTGGGATGCGACCAAATGTCTCAAAGTGTGAAAGGCTTGTTTTTGCATGTGACGGCACCCAGCAGTCGGAACTTAGCGAGAGATGTCAAAGTTACGGCTATCAGGCCAGGTAGTACCTGCCAAAGATAGCGCTCGCCATCGGGCTTGGTATACGGCCTTTTAGTGCGTGCCGTCAGCAGTTATGTGATACAGGTCGGTCCGCTATGTTTTCCTTAAGCGCAAAGTTGGACAAAATGAAGCTGTTTGCCCCCGACGTGCGAATGCGGTGCTTTGCAACCCAAGTCCGAGCAATTCTGTTGTATGGCTGCCAGGCGTGGGGCCCTTTTACGCTGGCAGAGGTCGTGGACAGGGTGGGAAGGCGGCGGGATAAAGCCAACCTTGCGGAGGGCATGTTCGAAGCCTGTTTGAAGGATAGTGCAGTCCAGCTGCAGATTTTATTCATGAGGCAGGTAGTGGGGACGGCACGGCCATCCCACAGGCTGTTGTACGCGGAGCTGGCTGAACTCCCCTTACAATATTACATGGTGAAGCAGATTCTCCGTTTCTGGAACCGCCTTCAAAAGCAAGTGGGATCCATTGCTCATGCCGTTTTACGGCAGGAGATAACCGATGCCCTGACCAACCCGGAATGGGAGGGTTGGGGAATCTCAATGTTACGACTGTTTTCCTTCTTGGAGTGCAACATTTGGAGCGGAATACCGCAAGAAGTCGTGGGGGTAAAGGAGCGTGTTGACTGGTTGTTGAGTAGACCTCTACCCGAAGGAGCGATAATAACGGCACTAAGAGAGCGTTTGATGAGTGGCTGGGACCATACGCGTCTGACTGTCTTGCCAGAGGAGTACCCATCAGATGGGAAGCAACCGGGAGTGCAAATGGCGAAGTACAAGCACTGGATGGGGCTGCCCTTTTCGGGAGCCGCAGCCGTCATGTGGCCAACACATGCTAAGTGTTTTCATTCCTCGTTTAGCACATCGTAAGCTAATGCAGTTTCATTTATGTTGCTGGGCTTTGGAGGCAAACAGAGCACGAAATGGGCAAGTACCATGTTCCCAGGGGGCAGCGGTTTTGCCGCTGGTGTGCTACTAATAGCCGAATCGAGGGTGAAAAACACGTGTTATTGGAATGCCCAGCCTATAATGATATTCGTGCTGAAGAGGGATTCAATCATCAACAGAGCGTGTTGGAGGCCATGAAATGGGAACCAGCACGTCTGGCGAGGATGTTGGAACGTATGTGGGCTCACCGCAACTCAGTTACCCCCTTTGGACGCTAGTCTGGGCTGATGTGCAGTGTTTTTCCTTACCTCGGTGGCTTTTAGGCGTTGTGGTATTGCCCTTGGGCCTTCGTCTCGTATGGGTCGTCTTACAGGGATGGGGTCACGCACCCCCAACCATGTAACACACACACACACACACACACACACACACACACACACACACACACACACACACACACACACACACACACGAGAAGAGCTCCTGCAACATTGCCACATAGAAACAAAGCAGGCAAGAGGAAGGTAGCTTGGCTGTCTTGCCATGCTAGTCAACATTACTACTGGCGGTATATTGCCACAATAATGGTCATTCTGGATGTAACGGGCTGGCTGATGTGAGCAGCGGGATGAAACCGGCACATGGATATATGAATCATGTGGCAAACCTTTGACATTTAGTGAAGATGCATGAGAAGTAGGGGATGGGGATATAGCTTCACCTGTGACGTTTTGGAGTTTAGCACACATCGTACGAGTCTCACTATCTCAACATGCGGACCATCCGATGTCCATTCACCGTCAGCATCGTGCCTAAAACCGTGCGGCCAAACACACAACGACGGCTCGCCAAGGATGCTAAGCTGCATGACAGGGGCTCCGTCTGTAAAGTAACATGGTTTCGTAGGTGACATGGGGTCATGTACGACGTGGGATCCGAACAGCGGCGCGGGGTGGCCAATAGTGTGTTTATGTGCGTGTGTGTGTTACACCTTGGTTGCGTTACCGTAGCGAGGCCATACGATGTAATTATGACGCACCGACCACTGCTGTTATGAGCATTCCGTTAAATACGGTAATGACTAACATATTCTTATTATTATTACTTGTAACGCATAGGCGGAACAACTCCTGCCGTACTACCGTACATCGTACTCCAACAAGAGTATATCCTTACTTTGGTTAGTTCCGTCTAGGCGGACATTTGGTTGTCAAGAACCAACTAGCCACTAAACTCGTATAAACGTTTCCGCTTCCCGTTTAAATCGTATCTCGTCTTTACTCTCCTCGTTACAACTGCCCCTCCGCGACGCCATTCCACTAGGCATTGCTGTAGAGCGCCACAACGCACACAACCTCTGTGGGGTTTCATTCGCCACTGCGATTTGGCCGTGACAGCATTTGGCCCCTTACGCGTGTTCCATTATTGTAACTTGTAAGAGGCTTGAAGCTCTACCTACCCTTCAGGATTTTTTGAGGGACCCCAATCCGAACGAATTCCTGTCTGGGAGAGAATAATGGGCAAACATATTATTGAAACATTTCCCAAATCTAGGAAAGCGGCGATCTCTGTGGCAGTGGCGTTTCATAATCTGTTCAGCAATTTCCCAAGCTTAACCAGGTAACGAATTGTTTTACGAAGCTTCTTGTCCAAAAACCTTTAGTTTTCCTAACACTGTATTTGGCATTTTTAAAGCTTTATGTGGTATGTGGAGATCTTGCTTCTGAGGAGCGAGTTACAAAAGTAACGCGAGCGAGCCCTTGTTTCGTATCATACGATTAATCCCGCCCGAACCAATCCGCCGCCCTGGGCCTTGCTGGGCAAGGAATGCTAGGTCCTCCGGTGAAGTTATAACATATTTCAGTAAGTGCATTAGCGGTGCAATGACATTTACCGCGAGCTTCGGCGGCGAGAAAGTTAGCGTACCTACGTAACGTTCCCGTTCATCCGCGCGCGTATGCAGCAGCTTATCGGTCAAAAACGCCTCACGTGCTTTAAACGCAGCACTTGTTTTCCCGCTGGCTTTAAATGGATTAAAGGCTTACAGCTTTGGTTCGCTCGTAAACGGGACGCACAGAAACGGAACGTAACACGTGAAAGGGGGATTACTAAAGGAATTCCCTTTTATGTGTGTGTGTTGTTTGGTTGTTACATCCATTTTATGCAGATATCCTAATGATTTTTCATATTTTGTTATTATATTTTTGCATATATTTTGCAATGTTCGCGCCTCTTCACTGAAAGAAATTGTTTGGCGAAACGAAATAACCTAATCGACGGGACGAACGTAGCGAACATAATGCGACGCATAGCATACGTTCGTCGAGTAAGCACTTGCACGCCAGCAATGAAGCGCCAAAGTCTTTACTAGTATTATAATCTGTGTATTCTTACCTTGGTCTTATATTTGCGCTGTTGTAATCAAAGGTTATTGCAGACGTGGAACGTCATATATTCAGCCACTAAACAGGTCTCACATACATATGCATATCCTCGTTAGCTAGTTTCTTCAAGCAAATACACAACACATTGATTACGTTCATCAGAGGCCCCTTGCGCTCCTTTGAGCCACATATGCGGCCGCACCATCCCTTTTATGTGCACAGCGTCTGTGCCTGATCCCAACCATTCATCAACTACTCGTCACCTGGCCAGCTACCATACCCACCAACGCTGTAAGGCATCGAAGCGACCTGTCGTGTCAGCATCCCGATTTACTCACCCTCAACGGCGTCGAGTCACAGCGACGAACTGCTCCGAGCCCCTGTCGGTGCCAAGAGAATGTTCCTCTCGAAGGTCGAAGCCTTATCATTGGGCGACGTGCGTGTTAGAGTCCACCCAGCGCCTCCCAGCTGGCGCCGTTTGCATGCATGCAAATGTGTGTATGCAGCGCACGCCAAGAAGCAAGCAGGTACCTACATTCGTTACTTGCAGATGATGTAATGCATTGTACGGCGGGTGCTGTATCCGGGGCGGCTCACGGGATCTGATATCCGCTGATCCGTACTTTTTTGAAGTCGTGGAATAACAGCGGGTTCTTTCAGTACAAATACAAATCCGTCCGCTGTGAAGATTTGCTTAGTAGCCATTTGTGCCACGACCTGTATTTAAATTTGTAACCTTGCCTGACCTCGTCCATATAGGGAATAGATCTGATTAGAAGTGTTGTGTGTAACGAATGATAGCCCGGATGCTATGCACCGCCGATCAGAGCAAACAGCAGCGATGGCAAACCTAACTCCAACGACGAGGCCCCGCTGCCGCCTACCAGTTCTGGTGGAAAACAAGACATCACTACTGCTGCTACCCCTGCTGCTGCTGTACTTCACGATGGCGACCACACTGCTGCACATTACGGGAGCCAACGCCCAAGGTGGTTATTTACTTTATAAAATAAAGAATATAATGATAAATGTGGCGGCTGGAGGGCGGATGCATGCAGCTGTCCTCACGTACATGTGCATGTGCACGCATACATGGTATGCACCGCACATGCTAGTTTGCTGCAGCCCGTTCCAACGACCTTACGACAGCAACACCCATCCATTGGCTGGGTGCCTCGCCTGTCCCCTATCTGCAGGTGGTGATGTAGCACCACCGCCGCCGCCGCCACCACCGCCGCCACCTCTAACCCTCGCCAACATCGCCATCGGAAAAAGGACGTATGCATCCTCCCAGCTCTCCAATCAATACGCCGCCACATTTGCCAATGATGGCATTATCCCCCCAGATGGCAGCAATAGCAGCACATTCATGAGTGGTAATGCAACAGGCCAATGGCTGTCCCTGGACTTTGGAGAGCTGGTGACCATCTCCAGTATAGCACTCTACGTTCGCCGGGACTGCTGCAGTGATGAGCTGGTTAGCGCTGAATTCAGACTTGGGGGCTGCGACAACCCGTACACTGGTAACGGCTGGGTCCCTTCGTCGTACAACTTCCTTCTCGGCAACTGGGCACAAAGCTCCGGCATAAGGGACGGTAAAGTCACATTTCCAGTCAGTCCGCCTAAAAATGGCCGTTATCTTACAGTTCGGAGCAACAATGTCAACTCTAGGGCGTCGGGAGTGAACTTGGCGGTGGCAGAGTTGCAGGTTTATGGCATGTCCGCAGGTCGGTGTAATGCAATAATGTACGGCCATGGTCATTACTCTAGCTATTATAAGGGGAGCAAATAGCCCCTAAAGGCAGCTGCCGCCTGCGAGTCTAAGCCTGTAAATATGTTATGTATGTGTGTGTGTGTGTGTGTGTGTGTGTGTGTGTGTGTGTGTGTGTGTGTGTGTGTGTGTGTGTGTGTGTGTGTGTGTGTGTGTGTGTGTGTGTGTGTGTGTGTGTGTGTGTGTGTGTGTGTGTGTGTGTGTGTGTGTGTGTGTGTGTGTGTGTGTGTGTGTGTGTGTGTGTGTTACCTGGTCATGGGTGCGTTCCCCGTACCTGCAAACCGCCCAATACGAGCCCAGGGCTCAAGGGCAATACTAGAACGCCTAAAAGCTACGGATGAAAGGAAAACACCGCACATCAGCCCAGACTAGCGTCCAAAGGGGGTAATTGAGGTTCGGTGAGCCCACATACGTTCCAACATCCTCGCCAGACGTGCTGGTTCCCATTTCATGGCCTCCATCAGCAGCAACCCTTCTCTTGTAAAAAACAAGAAGCTCATAAACCCACACTCGCGCCTATGCCCATTTAAACGTATTAACATGTATATAACCATTCGCACACTGTGGCCTTGCTAACCTGATTGTAGACAGCAGCAGGTAGGCACTTCCTTGGCTACTTACTTGCTTTATTTCCGTCGCTTGGATCGCTACTGAAATCTCACTTGCAAGCCATTTTCTCCACGTGAGATGACAGCAAAATTGGATTCGGATCGCATGTGCGGCCATTGACGGATATCCGCTGCGGGGGAACATATGTATGCTGGCCAGTACGGCCTGTAGAACTGTGACGCAAGCACCGCTTGGTGTGTCCACTTTAAGGGGCACATCCGGATAACAGGCAGGAAGCTATCAGAATTTTAAGCCTGATTTCGGTTCGGAATGTCCGGGTTCAAGTCCGCCTGCCGACCTCTCTTACGTTAAAGAGATATTGAAAACTTGTGGATGGGATAGGACGTGATAAATCAACATGCGGGCTGACCAGGAGCGATGTTTTGACGCGCCGTTGATCCGCTAGATTTGGCAATGTGTTGGTGGTGAGTTACCATACTCAAAGAGTACACCCTGAAGTCGGATGGGGTGAATGGGTATGGGTGGCCCTCTTGCAGTGGACACCAGGGAATTTCCTCGGGAAGGAGGCCACTGGTGAAGCTTATAAGTCACTAAATAGTCACCCTGTAACAACATCAACATAGCGCCAGCCAGCCAATTTTGGCCAACTTCAGGCAGCAGGGAAAGGAAAGAGTTTCCATTTCCTTGTCGTGGAAGGCGCACATACTGATTCCACCTTCCCATCCACCCAACGGCGCGCCGTATACCCACGCTTGACAGCCTGCACTCTCCAGGTGATGTACGGCGCTGGGTACGGCATCGACTCCGCAGCGCTGTCCACCAGCATCCAGCCTGATGAGGCGGCTTGCTGCCAGGCCTGCTACACCAGCGCCACCTGCCTGTACTGGGACTTCGTCCGCAGCAGTGGGACATGCCGCCTCAAGGGCGACCAGGGGCCCACCCTCCCGCCGGGGCAGTCAATACCGGGCTTCTACCGGGATACCGACCGGGTGGCGGGCGCGAAGAGAGGTAAGTATCCGCGAATGTGCTTACAGCTCAGTGAGCGTGTGTGCCTGTATGTGTGTAATTGGTCGGCCGAATCACGTGGTGACAAATGACAACATAAAATAAGTGATGGTAAAATACTAGTCACCTAGTTTTGGGACCTGCTACATACATACATACGTAAGATCGTGCACGTGGGGAAGCTCGATGCGCACACACAATCCGTGTCCATTTCAAAGACCGATACCTACTAAAAGCGACTGCGATCTCATCCATGCATGCATGTGATGAAGCGCATCATCACACGCAAGCAAGGGACCGCTGGAAAGGCCTCCCGAAAAGCTGGCCGAGCCTTTTGCGCGTATTTGTAGTTGATATGTGTGCCGTACTATATTCTACCAGCATTTCGCATGATGTAAGTGATATGTGTGCCGTACTGTGTACCCTGCCGTACTGTGTACACGGTGCTCGACCACTAACAACGTGCATGGGCCAATCCACTGCCATAGATTCACAGTACGGCACCTCTCGGCACTAACGCTGATGCCGCAACCAATCCACATTGACAGGTGTTCACAATTACCACCCGCTAAACTGGATGGATACGCGTACAGTCACGGTTTGGTCTGGTCCTGAAGCTTTTACCAATAACCCGAAAAAGTACTGGTTTACGTACTTTTACAAGTCCTACACCACACCAGTGGCCATTTCAAATGCAAGCTTCCGTCTATGTGCCGACGATGGGGGCATTTTGTTCGTGAATGGAATAGAACCTTCCCTACGCGCAGGTACTACTTTTGATAGGACATACTCTTTCAGCCTGGCGGCAGGTCTTACCATACTGGCCATGCGGATCTACAATTCAGTCGGATATGCATATTCATCTGGGTTGCTGCTTGCTCCTAACAACACCCTACTGCTGCGCACCGATGAGACGTGGCTTTGGACTGAAGCGCAGGCGCCCAGCCCACCGCCATCTCCTCCCACTCCTCCATCACCACCTCCATTTCCACCATCACCCAGCCCCCTACCCCCTCAGCCTCCAAGACCCTCGCCTCCACCATCACCCCCTAAGCCACCCAACCCGTCACCGCCGCCACCTCCACCCCAGCCACCTAGACCCCAGCCACCCAGCCCCCCGCCACCGCCTTCACCCCAGCCACCCAGTCCCCCCCCACCGCCTTCACGCCAGCCACCCAGTCCATTATTAAGGCCTTCACCCAAGACATCAAGTCCTTCGCTGCTGCGATGGCCCAGCACGCCAGTAGCCCCATGGCCTCAGCCACATGGTCCCTTGCGAATGCCTTCAGGCCCCTCATCAGGTGCGCAGTTCAGGTCTCATTTCCTATTGGTCTTGAAAGGCTGGTGACAGTCAGTAAGGGATTTTCCAACGTCCACCTGGTTTAGTTGCCGTAATTTGAAGCTCCGCCATCTTATTCCCTTCCTGGAGGGTTAAGGTACAGTTTCCAGCCACCAATGCTACCCATGGCATCTTTGACTGTTCATGTCTTTTCGAAGAGTGAGCAACCCGATAAACCTTGGGATTAGCTTACAGCGTGATAGCCCCCACGTATGTGCCGTCTGAAATTGCAGGTCAGCCCAGACTGCCGCCATGGCCGCCGCTGCCATCGCCCAACACACCACCTTTGCCTAAAAGGTCGCCATCACCGTCCCCGTCTTCGTTTCCACAATACCGAGGAGGAATATCATCGCCACCAGCATCGTACCCTTACGTTGTTAGAGTGAACCCTCCACCGAGCCAGCCTCCCAGCATGCTTTCGTTTTCTGATTTTCGTAACTCGACAGGTAAACAGCGCGTTTTGGGGTGTATAACAGAGCGGTATTGTATTTGGGATAGAGTCGCTCCGTTACACTGTACGTATCCGGATTGTACGTGTGTACACAGCGATGAGGCAGGGTTTGGTAGAGGGTTTGACCAAAGGCTTTATTTGGTGAAAGGTTTGGTAAAGGGTTTGGTAAACGTCGGTGGTAATATAATTCGAGTTAGTGGTCGTATGAAGTATGGAGAGAATGCATAAACATCACTAACATTCACCTCACACCATCCTAACTACTGCCAAACCCGATTAAATTCGAGGTTGCACCTCGAACCTTGCTTCAACCTTACCTAGCACCGTTACCATGCAATAGTCCATATGCCACTTACGCCATTACTGACGCGATGCGCATAATCAGTAGCTGCTGCCTGCCGCTTTGCATGTGTATGTGCCGCACACTCGACTACTATAAACGACCATAGGCGTTTGGACAGTTGCATTATGATAGCAAAGTAGTAGTACTGCAAAGTTGCTTCTAATGGCTCTTCATTTGATGAGCATGCAGCTGAAGTACCTGCATGCAAGCCGGGATGCCGGGCACCCTCTGCAAGGATGCAGCCCGGCCCCTCATCCACTAACCTCTCTCTATCCCTGACCCCATTACGCCCGGTAACATGAAATGGTTCTATGGGGCCATCAGCTCCAACATCATCTGGCGGCGGTGGCAAGCCGAAGCCCGCAGCAGTCGCCCTTATCATCGGTCTTTCAGTGGGCGCGGGCACTGCAGTGGTTGCCGCCATGGGAATCTATGCGGTACGGAAGGTTACGAGCATGAGGCGACGGGGGGGTCTGCCCGCTTCAATTGGACAAATTTATTACGCAGTTCAAGTCATGCCTGAACCCCCACCCTAACCCTGTAGGGAGCGAGTGTATGTATTTATAGGCAGAGAGTGTATGTATAGGGAGCGAGTGCATCTATAGCGTATGTATGTATGGGGAGCAAGCGAAAGAAAGGCGGTGCGGCTGTCGTACCCTGCAGGGTGAGGCCGCAGCTACATGCATGGGTCGTCCCTAATAGTAACGACATATTGGCATAACGGTTTGTTCGGTGCATTCACCACTGAGTACACAGCAGCATGCCTGCTGTGGCGTTTAAAATACTTTAGACACGCTAGATGCAGTTGTCCATACCTGTGATTCCAGGAATTACTTGGCTTGCTTAGCTTGGATGGCGGGAAGCCAGCTTCGCACATTCGCAGGTCTTGCAGCGGATTGCAGCAAATAAGCGTGCGTGTACGTATAATGCTTGAGTCGCAGACTGTTGTACCTGAAGCAGCTTATTGTACGGTATGGGGCACATGCACATGCACATGTTTGTGTGTGTGTGTGTGTGTGAGTGTTACATGGTCGGGAGGCGGACTTGCTGCTGCGGGAGTTCAGGTGGGTCGAGATGAAATGCATTTGTGAAATGACGAAAGACGTCGTCTTTAAGTCCATCGTCTCGGGCCATTAAGAGAAATAGGGTTATGTGTGTGTGTTACATGGTCGTGGGATGCGTTCCCCGTACCTGCGAACCGAGGCTCAAGGGCTGCCAGGTCGCCTATAAGCACCGTTCTACCTCGCACATGCACATGTTTGTAAGCTAATGCAATTTCGTTTATGTTGCTGGGCTTTGGAGGCAAACAGAGCACGAAGGGGCAAGTACCATGTCCCCAGGGGGCAGCAGTTGTTTGCCGCTGTTGTGGTACGAATAGCCGAATCGAGGATGAAAAACGGGTGTTGTTGGAATGCCCAGATAAAGTGATATTCGTGCGGAAGAGGGATTTGATCATCAACAGAGCATGTTGGAAGGTTTGTGGGCTCACCGCAACTCAGTTATCCCCTTTGGACGCTAGTCTGGGCTGATAGTGCGGTATTTCCATATTTTGGGGGAGGGGCCCCGGGCGCGAAGCGCCTTTCGGGGGCCCGAGCCCCCTAAGTTCACTGCTGTCAGGCAGGCAGGCAGGCAGGCAGGCAGGCAGGCAGGCAGGCAGGCAGGCAGGCAGGCAGGCAGGCAGGCAGGCAGGCAGGCAGGCAGGCAGGCACATTTCATCTTATTTCACCCCGCTCTAAATTGCGTCAGAAAGCTATTCTTATTCTACACACCATCAGCTTTGCCGCTGCATTCCGACTTCAAGTGTGCAATTGGAACGATCCCCGAATGCGTTCTGGCTGGGAGCGGACAACAATTGGTCCATGAAGCACGGGCACTTTGGCGCGCCTTGCACTGCTAGCCAGCAGACCGAAGGGCCGGGGTAGAACATGGATGCAACGGTAGTACCACCTACATATCGGGCAGTCCCGACTCATGGATTTGGCGCAGCAGCGGCAACACACGTTGCCGCAATGACACTCCTGCTTTGTGCGTATGTCGTTCTGATTGTCGCATCACAAGAAGATTAACTGTTCAATCAATAATGATTATGCTATGGCGGCTGCGCGCTTGCGACGATCCAGACAGGTCTACGCCGCCGTAGCAAGTCTGCCGACCTTTATTGTTTGAGAATTTCAATAACAAGTGTGTACTCCAAACTTGGCGGCGTTCTTGTGCTTGCACTCCTATGCTGTACGGACTGCCCTGCGAATTAAACGGGGGTCAAGTGGCTGCACCGGGCCCGAGCCCCTTTTCGGCTTTGCAAAGCCGCCCCCCTAGTTTCTGTGGCTTTTAGGCGTTCAGGTCTTGCCTTTGGACCTTCGGCTCGTATGGGTAGTTTCACAAGTATGGGGTCACGCACCCCCAACCATGTAACACACACACACGCACACACACTCACACATGTTTGTAATCGGCCCAAAAAACTCCCATTCTGTAACAATGAACACAATGCAGTAGCTGTCACGGGTATTGTTACATTAGGCAGCAGCGCTCGCAGGCCCCGTCAAGCTCCTGCTCTACCCACCCACATCCATCATCACGATGTCATTCTCTTCACGCACCATGCCCAGTTTGTTTTTCATTTTTGCATGGCCCATGCCCCCCTGCATAGCTGCTGCACCATTCTCCTTGCTCCCACGGCCGACCTGCGCTATTTCTACGCCCCCTTTCGTATGCCACTGTGCATGTCCCCATGAACCACCATATCCCTCCTTGCTTTGGCCACGTGGCCGAAGGGGTGCACCCTGTGCTTGTCGGGTGCACGTGGACCTTTCCCATCACTATCATCACAGCCACCACGGCATCACCGACCCCATCATCCCTACTTTCGCTACTGATGCATAACTGCACATCCTTGCTGCTGTATTTTGGAGTGGTCTTTCCTGCGTTCAAATACCACGCTCATGGCCCACAGTTACAAAACCTAAGAACAAGGACGGCCCAATGGAACAGCAGCGCCCGCTGCGGTGGTATACGGTAGTGGCAGATCATGGTGGGATTTCTACTACTACCTGCTCATATTGATGGAGTGGGGGACCCACACTTGCGCCCCGCATGATAAGACTGGGACGAAAAGTGTATATATGATAGCACGACTTCAGAAAGGACCAATCGGTGGATGCGAATCCCGTGATAAGCCCAGGATACTCCAGTATGTGATATATAGGGCCATACAAGGCTTAGGCGCAGCAACCTTCTTACTGCGGCACATTGCGGCGAGGGCCAAATGCGGCTCGCTTCCTCACTTTCCCCCCAGCGGAAGCCGGTTCCCAGAGTGCGAGGCCAACAGTTAACTGCAGCAACGTTGCTCCGTTCAGGCAGTGAAATGCTGCCTGGGCCTGTATGTAGTGCACCCCGAGGTACGGCATAATCTTACTCCCCGGTCAACACACGCAGCCTGTCCCACCCAATCAAAGCATTGCTGCCCCCATGAGCCGCTTGTGCTCTCGCATTGCAACGTTGTTCCCCTAAAGATAGGTGAGCACTTCACACACAGCACTATTAAACGAGGTTTAAACCCTGTTTGGATCCGTCTGGATCTGTTAGAACGCTGTTAGTCGCTGTCATACCCCCTATGGGTTCGTAAGCGCACGTATCCTTAGGGCCGGGACATAGTTGGGCTTTTTGTTAAGGAACCCAAATCGACAGGTATGTATGTGCGTAGGCCAGGGTGCACTACGCATGTGGGTGGCTGGTATGTGTACGCTAGCTTGCGGAAAAGCAAGACAGCAACTGATTGCAAGAAGTTTGCCGATGCTTGATTGTCGACTTCCACAAGCAGTACTGGCTAAGCCAGTACATCAGCAATAGTGTACTTTGTACTTTAATACGGGTCTGTGGCGAGATATTTTGGTCGACGTTTTCGGTTGATAGATCCAGTTACTAATATACAAAGACGTTATGACACTGCCTCGCATGTGACTTTGTGATTGTGTGTGTTTGATGCGCGGCTGGGCGGCGAGGCGGACGACCTGGACGATTCACATTCGTCCTGCCTCTCTACCGTCGCGGGCTGGAAGGCGATGAGCTGTACGTCTACATGTAAACAACATTACAGCTGCTCCGCACTATTACCGAGTGTGATCTTCTTTCCTCTGTGCCTGCCTGCATGCAAAACAACTTGTTGCGCTTTCCTGTCCTCGGAGAAACTCTAGGAAACACGACGAAACGTAACTTCACAAATTAAACGCCGGTTAACCAACACCGTAATCAACGCTGAAACATTAATAAAATTTAGACTGGTAAAGGCGATATCCTATTATATGATTAAGGGAAGCGATTTGAAGCTGGCGCTGCTGGCTTGTAACGTTAGCGAGCTGCGGATATGATGGGCTGAAAGCCGGGGAGATGGATCGCCGCAATCCGTAGTCCAAGTGGATTGAACTCGAATATGCAGGCAAGATCATATGCGTGAGCTGCGCATTTAAGTAAGGTGCATGGCTTACTTTGGCTCCTCGTCAGCAGCAGATTCCTCAACAAGTATGTGCGTAACGCAGCAACGACATCTATATGTTTTTTCGCATAAATCAGCTTGATCTCCTTCCAACAGAGCAGGTTAACTTGGACATAGGCTTACTCATGGCCTGCTAAGTCCAGCGGCAGGTAGGTAGCGAGTAAACGAGCGACTACGTACGGGATTGATGCAGAGGGACATACTTCAGGCAGGGTGCTCGTCGAAGCTTAAAGAAGGACGACATGAATGACTTGAAGCTGCCTCGGGAACAGCGCTAGGCAGCATATCGCATGACTCGCTAGCTCTGACAGCTCCGCCGTCGATCTCCGGTGCACGGCGGCCACCTTTGTTTTCAGCTCCTGCACTGAAAACTGACTGCGTGCCTTCAGCAGGTTAACTTTCCTCCTTTACCAAGAAAGGTATAACATGACCACGGCCACCCAGAGAACGTGGTGCTCGCATCATTGCTACTATCAGCGGAAAAAACGGCCTGCTGCTGGCTCTACTCTTCGTAAGCCTGGAGCCCACTGCAACAACCACCACACGCAAAAACGCCAACGAATGCTGCGGCGGCTGCTGCCTTTGATACTTCTGGGCTTCATGCCAGCACCGCCCCGGCCAATGTCGCATTTTGGAGCAAATGCACAAGGTCTGGCCCCGAAACCACCACTGCCCCCTCCCCCACCTCCCCTGACACCCTTAATGACCAACATCGCCATCGGAAAAAGGATATACGCCGCATCCCAGCTATCCAATCAATACGCCGCCATAAATGCTAATGATGGCATTATCCCCCCAGATGGCAGCAATAGCAGCACTTACATCAGCGCTCCCAGCAACAGCACAAGCCAATGGCTATCCATCGACTTTGGGGAAGCGGTAACCATCGGCAGTGTCGCCATCTACTTCGGCAGAGGTTGCTGCTTTGGACAGCCGTCGGACTATGAATTCAGACTGGGCGGTAGGGCCATCGACCTCACGGTCAGCGATTTGTCATATCCCGGAAGCCTTAATGCCGTTATCTACAATTTAACCTACGGAGCGTCTGCTGCTGCTTCTGGCAGCAGCGAAGACAGCAGAGTGGGCGGTTTCTCCATCAACCCGCTTAGAACGGGGCGCGTCTTCTCAATAGAGAGGTTACTTACAAGTGCGACCGTTCCTGACAGCCTGTTAGCAGTGTCCGAGCTGCAAGTGTTTGGTACACCAGCAGGTAAGCAAGTAGAGCTTTGGATAGAGCTATGGCGAGGTCCCCGTGCACGTGAGAGTCATGGAACGGGGACCCCAAAACGAACGGCGCAAGGCCTCACACGGGGAACGTAAACCCTCCCCGTCAAAATCGCAACAATTTGCATTTTTGTTTGGTACTTTTTCAGCAGCTCCAAAACGTTCTGATGCTGTAAAAGCTGCAAGCTTATTAGGTGTAATGATGAACGAAGGTTCAAAACGTACTCCCCGAACCGTTCCTTCTCTGTAATCCATACCCCGGTGCTGTCCTCCAGTATAAAGAAATGTTATTCAAGTACACTGGGCCGTCGTTGTGCTGTCATATATAGCGGTATCAACAATTACTTGCCCGTAGCCCAGAAGCCATTGAAAACAAAACCTGCCCTTAAGAAGACAGAAATAGTAGCGAAGGCACAGAAAGAAACTGCGGAAAACTCTGCCACCAAAGAACATGTGCCCTTGCTCCACATGCAGCCTGATCAAGACGAAGGTCCCGTAGAAGAGTATTTCTATAATAATCGTATACATGATGATGTGAATGCCGTGGGTGAGGAGGATGCATGATCGGGTGAGGGTTCGGACATTGATAAGGATGATGGGCCTGACTGCCTTCAGGACTCAAATGTTGTCTGGGACATCAGTGATCGACACGCCGGCAACCCACCAGGCGGCAAGCAGCCAACCAAGGGGGGCGAGCAAGCAACAGGGGGTGGCCAGCGGGGGAACAGGGGCGGGCGGAGCCAACGCCTGGGAAGGGGCGCCAAGCTCGCGGCTTTGCTACAGAGACAGCGTGGGGGGTCTAACAGGAATCAGACCAAGTGAACTGAGGGTTAATCTAGGACTTCCTGTTTGGGGAGAGTGATGGGATACTGAATGGGTGCATACTGGATGATCCTGCTGCGTGTGTGCATGAAATGAGTGTTGATATGCCACAGGTACATCTCGCTGGTGAATTGCCTGTTTATTTACAAGAAGCTGTGAACATTTCAAACTGCATGGTTGGGGAATGCATGACCTTGACTGACCGCATGGCCTGGCCAGGGATCACACCTGAGGCTGAGTACGGCAATCATGAATGCAACTGGAATGCAACCGTTCGGGCTGATGTTTTGCATACAGCCCCAAAATACCCTCACAAGGCCACGGCCCCAAGCGTGCGTCCAGATTCCGACATCGCCCAACCCAGGTTCCAGCGCCCGAGTGTCACCAGACCCCACCCGTGCAGCTGTCAGGCACCCTAGCGCCCCGGCCCAAAGTCAAGCGTTCGGGCTTATTTTTTGCATACAGCCCCAAAATACCCTCACAAGGCCACGGCCCCAAGCGCGCGTCCAGATTCCGACATCGCCCAACCCAGGTTCCAGCGCCCGAGTGTCACCAGACCCCGCCCGTGCAGCTGTCAGGCACCCTAGCGCCCCGGCCCAAAGTCAAGCGTTCGGGCTTATTTTTTGCATACAGCCCCAAAATACCCTCACAAGGCCACGGCCCCAAGCGCGCGTCCAGATTCCGACATCGCCCAACCCAGGTTCCAGCGCCCGAGTGTCACCAGACCCCGCCCGTGCAGCTGTCAGGCGCCCTAGCGCCCCGATGATGCGACGGTTTGGTGGACGAACTTAAATTATACCTCCGTCACTAGCTGGCGGGAGTTCGGGCCGTCAGGCCCATCATCCTTATCAATGTCCGAACCCTCACCCGATGATGCATCCTCCTCACCCACGGCATTCACATCATCATGTATACGTTTAGTATAGAAATACTCTTCTACGGGACCTCCGTCTTGATCAGGCTGCATGTGGAGCAAGGGCACATGTTCTTTGGTGGCGGAGTTTTCCGCAGTTTCTTTCTGTGCCTTCGCTACTATTTCTGTCTTCTTAAGGGCAGGTTTTGTTTTCAATGGCTTCTGGGCTACGGGCAAGTAATTGTTGATACCGCTATATATGACAGCACAACGACGGCCCAGTATACTTGAATAACATTTCTTTATACTGGAGGACAGCACTGGGGTATGGATTACAGAGAAGGAACGGTTCGGGGAGTACGTTTTGAACCTTCGTTCATCGTTACACCTAATAAGCTTGCAGCTTTTACAGCATCAGAACGTTTTGGAGCTGCTGAAAAAGTACCAAACAAAAATGCAAATTGTTGCGATTTTGACGGGGAGGGTTTACGTTCCCCGTGTGAGGCCTTGCGCCGTTCGTTTTGGGGTCCCCGTTCCATGACTCTCACGTGCACGGGGACCTCGCTATAGCTCTTTGGATAGGCAGTAGCGATTTATTTTCGGAAGGACAATTACAGAAGGGAAGAATTAGCAAAATGGCAAATTATTGGGATAATTAGCAAAGAACTTACCGAAGAATTTTACAAAAGTAGTAATTAGTATAATAATAGTACAGGTGGAGTCGCCTAATTCCGAACAGGGGGTAATTTCGAACAGGGCTACTTTGAGCGCATAACGAAAGAGATAGCGATCGCGCGCTTATATTCTTAAAGTATATGATTTTTTAAGTGTTCTATGGCCGGCGGACCGTTAGTTTCAGGTCGCTGTGGTTCCGGTGCCCAATCTTGCATGGAGACCCTGATTCACGAGGCACGAATACCACAAGGCGACAGAAGTACCAAAGAACCATCAGAGCATATTGAGATATATTAAAAGTATCCAGAGAGGCCTGTGATCAGCGCTATTTATTAGATTTCGCTCGTCCGTCGTCAAGTTTCGCGGAACCTTGCGAAGGCCGGCACGGCGACTAGAAACAGACGCAACACCCCATTCTTCAACATCCAACAGCTGTTCTTTGTTTATGCATATGTTTTAGAGATTTTCAGACGGCCAAAATGGGCAAAAACAAGCGCAAGGTCCCTCCACCATCAGAGTCCGCTCCTCCAACACAGCGCAAGAAGCAAAAGCAGCAGCGCGGGCCGCACTGGACCCAAAAAGATCTCGAGGACGCCCTTCACACCTATGAGCACACGCGGGGGTGTTCGGGGCCGGGGACGCGGCCGGGGGCGCGACAGGGGCCACACCCGTGGAGAGCGTGCATCCCAGCCGGCCAGCCCAGTCCCGGTGCTCCGTGGCAAGCGTGCCAGGCGCCCTACAAAGCGGTGGCAGGAGTACGACCAGGAGAATAATTAGGAATGAAGCAGCTGTGCTTAGTTTGACCCTTACCAGGTGGTACTTGCAGGATGCATGCATGAAGACCTCAGCGGACCCAAGCATGTAGATTCTACTGGTCGCATTGGGTGGCTATTAACTCCAGTAATAGTTTTGAAGTTATTCGGTTCTTGTGGAACGTCGTTGCGGGTCGGAACAAGCAGGTTTGGGTCACTTTGCAGGTGTTCGGAATTACCCCCATTTTCTGAGAGAGGCATTTTTGTATAGGTCTGCGAAGTGAGTGCTACATGACGGGCATTAATGCATAACGCGGTACGGGACTTGGACACCTTGAAGTGTACTACAAGGCGGTCCTACTGCAACAAACAGGACCTTGTCAGAGCAAGTGGTGCGTTTTCTATCGCGTTTCGAGTGTTAGTGTTCGGAATTAGGCGACTCCACCTGTAATTGGTAAAAAAATACGCAAAATTAGGCTGGATGACCGCGAACCATCCAAAACCCCACGTGCACCAAGGCCAAAACGCAGAGCCCAGACACGAACGGGGAGCGAACACCATGCACGGGCACGGGCACCAAATTTGGTGCCTCTTTATCTCTAAAAAGAGATAAACGAGCGAAGCGCGCGGCAAAGTCAAGAAACAGTTCAAGGGCAAAAGGCGAAGACCACGAGAAAATAAGGAAATGAAGAATAACTCGAGAGGTCTATCACCTCAGTGGCCAGCAGCTACTGAAAGTGGCGACTTTATAAAGAGTTAGAGACCTACCTCGTACATAGTATAGACCAAAGATCGTCATTTCAACATCTTCGGCGAACTGTGCGCGTCCACGAAGTTGTATGTCGCAGGATAAGGCCAGGTAAAAAATACCCTGCATGATCACCTGAACAGATTGCAAATTAAAGCTGATGCTATCTGCGAAAACTCTGTATGGCGGGCCGGGTGGGGTGCCGGAAACTGCAGATCAGGAGACATCAGGTCATCAGATATGGGCAGCAAGTGTGCTACAGCGGCTCGCTAGTTCTCAATCGGGCAGCACCACACTCTGTGGGCTTCCATGTATGGCGGAATTCATGAAACATGGAGTTGCAATACAAGGCAATTTTTTCTTAATCGGATCCGCTTATGATTATGACGTTATTCACTACAAAGGCTGATCTCCTGATTAAGTGTTGCCAAGGGGTTGTCGTGCAACTCTTCAGATCGACTGATCTGGAACCCAACGTTTCATGTCCGCTGCAGCCTGCACTCTCCAGGTGATGTACGGCGCTGGGTACGGCATCGACTCCGCAGCGTTGTCCACCAGCAGCCAGCCTGACGAGGCGGCTTGCTGCCAGGCCTGCTACACCAGCGCCCCCTGCCTGTACTGGGACTACGTCCGGAGCACCGGCACATGCCGCCTCAAGGGCGACCAGGGGCCCACCCTCCCGCCGGGGCAGTCAATACCGGGCTTCTACCGGGATACCGACCGGGTGGCGGGCGCGAAGAGAGGTACGAGCGACGGGAAGAGAGGGTGGGTCGGTGCACCATAAGTGGGAACGCAGAGCTGCTTTCATGGGACGGCAGCTTACAGCTAGCTGTGGATGAAGGATGGGAGAGCACGGGCCTTACTGCATGCATGGCTGCTATGCAGCAGAATGAACGGATGAGCTTGAAGCCGTAGCTGAATAATCTTCGTGCATGCATACATGCAACCATGCAAGCATGCATGCAACCATGCAACCATGCATGCTTAAGGGTGCGGTGGATGTGCATCATCTTTTGCAGCGGCCGCGCACCATGCATGCAATGCTATGCACGCAAGCATCGCTCCATGTTAACAAGGTGCATGCTTACCTATTTGTCGCATTGCATGTTGAATTGTCACGCACGCAAGTACGACAGTACGACACACAGTTAGCTGATGAGGTAGCTGTACAGGGCTGTATCCTGACTAGCCAATCAACCCTACACCCGCTAACAAGTAATCGATGTGCGACGTACATCGGTTATATAATATCCGTGCACCGCTATGAACTATAACCCTAATCTGCTTGTGGCTCGGCTGCTGTTGCTGGCTCCAAAATACCGGGAAAGGCTAGTAGGGCAAACGGCGGGACGGCACTCTGGCTGGGATCGAGCTTGCACTGCAGGGGAGTCCAAACACCCTCTGGGAACGATTTCCAAGGGACAAGCGGTCATGCAACGGCCGCGGCAAAAGCGAATGATGGCGCAGTCTGGTGCGACCCGCAGGCCGGCCGCACACGCAACCCACACCCGGCACGAAGAACGCTAATGCCGCCTGATTACGGCGCTTCAGACACTCCTGCGTACGGGAAAACAGGGGTGCGCCAGCGGCGCTCAAAGCCGACCTCCCAGCGGCTGTGATCGCCGAGGTAGACACCTAAAAATGCGGGTGGGAGAGCGGCTGGGGTAGCAGGCGTGACGAAATAAGGGGTTGTCTGAGCGCCACGCGGTAAACGAAAGAGGTATCGGCTGGCCGCAGCCGCCATCGTGCCGTGTGGCCGGTTATCCGTCCGAACTGCTGTAGTAGCGCGGGCGGGGAGGAAGTAAGAGCAAACATAGCTCACTCCTGGTAGTGCAGGCAGAATGCCGAAGGAACTACAGTAGCGAACAGCTATAAGTTGTTGTACGATGTCCCGGTGATCGGTGTCAACTAACTGGACGGTACCAATCGGGACCAACTAACTGACAAGTAACTGACAAGCCGAAAGGCTACCGCTCAGAACCTATCTTTGAAGCTCTACTCGCTTCTCCCCTGCCGCGTCTTAGTACCAGCTATTAACCAACATGCTAGCTAAGGCACTTGGAGGCTTTCTGCTCGCTACGCCAACGGAAACTGTGGAAGCACGGCGCAAAAGGCTTACCTGGGATTTCAAGGACCCCAGGTTGGAGTGTAGAAGCTGCTTGCGCTGCTACAGAAAATCTTAAAGCACTGCTGACGTGCATCCGCAACACGTGCATGATGCTGGGAATGCAAACACCCACATGTGTCCCTGCTTCCCGCACAGGTGCGAGCGCTTACGCGAACACAAACGTCATGTTTAGCGCGGACCCCAACGCCATCACCATTTGGTCGCACCCCTACGCATTTGTTGTTTCCTTGATGTCTCAAGACAAGCTAGACTGGTACACATACTTTTACAGGTCCTTCTATACGTCAGAAGCAATAACGGGAGCAACTTTCCGTCTCAACGCTGCACCTGCTGGTACGTTGTACCTCAACGGACGGCAGCTGTTGCCCGGAAACAGCTACCTTAAGACTGCAAGCATATCTATCAGCCTGGCAGCGGGTATTAATTTATTGGTAATACGGACCTATAAAGGGCCTAACGATGGGATCAAATTAAGCTGGGCTTCAGGAACACTAGTCGCACCCAATAATACCGTGCTAATGCGGACGGACGAGTCGTGGCTGTGGGTAGAAACACCCCCACCACCGCCACCATCACCACCGGCACCACCGGCTCCACCTCCCTTACCACCTAGACCCCCGCCACCATTCCGTCCTCCATCTCCTCATCCATCGCCACCAAAGGTCCCCAGCCCACTACCACCTTCTCCCAGCCGCCTAGCCCACTACCACCATCCCCACAGCCGCCTAGCCCATTACCACCATCCCCACAGCCGCCTAGCCCACTACCGCCTTCATCCCAGCCGCCCAGCCCCATCCCACCATCCCCACAGCCCCCTAGCCCATTACCACCTTCGCCCCAGCCGCCCAGCCCACTACCACCTTCTCCCCAGCCGCCTAGCCCACTACCACCATCCCCACAGCCGCCTAGCCCACTGCCACCATCCCCACAGCCCCCTAGCCCACTACCGCCTTCACCCCAGCCCCCTAGCCCATTACAACCATCCCCACAGCCGCCTAGCCCGCTACCACCTTCGCCCCAGCCGCCCAGCCCCATCCCACCATCCCCACAGCCCCCTACCCCATTACCACCTTCGCCCCAGCCGCCCAGCCCACTACCACCTTCTCCCCAGCCGCCTAGCCCACTACCACCATCCCCACAGCCGCCTAGCCCACTACCACCATCCCCACAGCCCCCTAGCCCACCACCGCCTTCACCCCAGCCCCCTAGCCCATTACCACCATCCCCACAGCCGCCTAGCCCGCTACCACCTTCGCCCCAGCCGCCCAGCCCCATCCCACCATCCCCACAGCCCCCTACCTCATTACCACCTTCGCCCCAGCCCCCTAGCCCATTACCACCATCCCCACAGCCCCCTAGCCCATTACCACCTTCCCCACAGCCGCCTAGCCCACTACCGCCTTCATCCCAGCCGCCCAGCCCCATCCCATCATCCCCACAGCCCCCTAGCCCGCTACCACCATCCCCACAGCCGCCTAGCCCACTACCACCTTCACCTCAGCCGCCTAGCCCACCACCGCCTTCGCCCCAGCCGCCCAGCCCCATACCACCATCCCCACAGCCGCCTAGCCCGCTACCACCATCACCACAGCCGCCTAGCCCCACTACCACCTTCACCTCAGCCGCCAGCCCCATACCGCCTTCCTCACAGCCGCCCAGCCCACTACCACCAT